CACACACACACACACACACACACACACACACACACACACGAGAGAGAGAGAGAGAGAGAGAGAGAGAGAGAGAGAGAGAGAGAGAGAGAGAGAGAGAAGGAAATGCTGACATAATCCTTAGGTGTCCTTCATGCTCCTTTTCTTCCCCCTGGAAAGCCCCTGGAGAGACCCAACCTATCCAGATAATGCCTCCCTGTTTCTTTCAGGCCCCAATGAGGAACTGGAGATTCGATTTGCCAATCGCCCGTTTCTCGTCTTAAGAGGGCGGTATGGGTATGTGGGCTCCTCCTCAGACCGGGACCTGATACAATGCAACAGGGATCAGCCTGACTGCATTCACCTTCTGCCCTGCCGCCAGGGCATCTACCACTTTCAGGGTGAGTGGAGTGAGTGGTTCCTCTTCCCCACCCAGAGACCCTGACCCAGCCCAGCCTCAGTCCCAGGCCGGTCTTAGAAACCTGCCACCGCGGACACTACTCATCATAAAAACAGGATTTCAGTTTGTTTTCATACTTCAAGGCCCCAGGGTGGCTTAGCAGAATAGGAATCAGTGAGGTTCCCAGAGGTTCTTCTGCATTTGTCTAGAAGGATCTACTAAAGCAGGCAGGATTCGATCCCCGCAGGAAGGCGGGGGAGGGGCGAGAAGAGAGAGGAGGCGGGACAAGGGGTGGTATTGCACGTCTCAGGGAACTCCCCTTGGAGGTTTCAGTGCTTAGAAAACTGCTGCCCAAATGGTCGACCGACATAGTTCTTCCCTCCCCAGCACAGGGCGGATCCTTCTGGTCAATAACATCTTTTGGCACCTTCCGCCCTTGGGGAAAATTCGCCCTCAACTTCTGTATAGAACTTCAGGGGAGCAACTTGCTCACGGTGCTGGCGCCCAACGGCTTCTACATCCGAGCCGACCGAAGTGGCACACTATTGGCAGACAGTGGAGACATTACCAAAGAATGTATCTGGGAATTTTAGGTAAGGAAGAGTGGTGTCAGTCAGGGAAGCAGGAGCTGGGGCGCAAGAGGAGAACGGAAGTGGGCGGGGAGACTTATGGTCCAAAGACCAGAATGCGGGACTGGGCTCGCTTCTGTCCAGGAGCTGACCAACTCCAGGCATTTATTCCACATCCGCACCGTTCCTTGCAGGCTTCTAAACCGGGTCTTGCTAGTGAGGGAAGAAAAGCATCGGGCATCGTGTCTGGGTTTCTTAATGCTTTGTTGTTCTGACTTAGGGGTCTACAAGCAGGCCTGGGTGCCTATGTCTCCTTTAAGATGTAGAATTTTACCCCATTTGGGGGGAAAATGTTTGTAGATAGGGAGGGACATTTCCGTCCTTACCCCTTGGTTTATCTCCAGCCCTGATTCTTCTCTGAAATGCCAACCTCATTTCTCTCCGACTTGACTGGTTTCAACCTTCTCGTCCTTCTAACCAGCATGACTGATTCTCTTCCATAGTCCTCTCCTTCCATGCCATCGCTCCCAGCCTGACCCTACTGTCCTTCCAGACGGTCACGGTCAAAGCCTCCTCTCTAACCCCCTTTAGCTGCCTTTATCGAACTGTGCAAACTCGGGTGCTTCCCCACCGATGTCTCTTGAGCACACTCTGTTTCATAATTACCACCATCAGTCTAGGTACCGCTGTCGTTGCCCCTCAGCAACAGTCCCTGTCCCCAGATTCATCCCCATCTAGTCTCCCAGTCTCTTCTGCAAACAAATTCTTTTTGTTGTTGTTGTTGTTGTTGTTGTTGTTGTTGGTTTGGCTTTTTGGTTAGGTTTGGTTTTTTAAGGTAGGGTTTCTCTATATAGCTCTAGCTGTTCTGGAATTCACTCTGTAGACCAGGCTGGCCTCAAACTCACAGAGATCCTCCTGCCTCTGCCTCCCAAGTGCTGGGATTAAAGGCATACACCACCATTGCCTAGCCTGCCTACCAAGTTTATTTTTATTTTTATTTATTTATTTATTTTTATGATTTTCAAGACAGGTTTCTCTGTAGTTTTTGGTGCCTGTCCTGGAACTAGCTCTTGTAGACCAGGCTGGCCTCGATCTCACAGAGATCCGCCTGCCTCTACCTCCCGAGTACTGAAATTAATGGTGTGTTGTGCTACCACCACCCGGCATCCAAGTTTATTTTAACATGCTGCTTCTGGTTTTCCCGCCCTTTCAGAGGTCCCATTTTCCTGCCTTGGAAAGTCAAATGAACTTTATAGAAAATACTGTAGGTTTGCTGTTGTTCCTGCTGTTATTGTCATGTAGCCCAGGCTGGCCCTTGACTTCCTTCATAGTCAGGGATGACTTTGAATTCAGGGATCCTCCTTCCTCGACCTCCTGAGTGCAGGTTGATTACAGGCAAACCCTACCACGTCTATATGTGGTGTTGGAGATGGAACCCAGGGCTTCACAAACACCAGGCAAGTATTCGTCTAGTTAGAACTGTGACCTTAGAGAAACTGCTTTCACATTTCAAGACCTCTGTTTCCTTGCGTGTGAAGTGGAAGTAATATGCATCATAGGTATTATCAAGGCTAAGAGCCAATCAGAAACTAACCATATCGACCCTCGGTGTATGTTCATTCTTCTCCGCGTAGTCTACACAGGGCACAAACTGAGAAAAATAAAATGAAATCCCATCAGGCTTCAACTTCTGCATCTATGCCATTAAGAGTTTGGTTTGGCTCTTTCCAAGCCCCACATCCTGGTAAACAATGCGCTGTAGAGCATAAGAGCCCAGTCCTAGTCAAAGCCTGTCCCTTGAAGAGCAAACAAGACTATGGCTTTGACCTTGGAGGGAATTGTGAGGAATACCTAACACAGAAAATGCTCTGTGTGACCTGGTCTCTACTACATCCTCATTCTATCAGAAGTCAGTGACTCGGTTTAATTTCTTAGTAAAGAGGGGCTTATGCTTAGCATTATGGGAGGCCCCGGGTTCGATGCCAGCATTGAAACAAGACAGGACAAATACACAAAAGGACAAGTTCTCAGTAAATGCTTTCTTGTTAACTGCACAGCCTTGCTCTGAACTCTGATGGGGATTTTATTTTTTCCTATAAATTCGTCTCCACTTATTTAATGGTTATCCTCACCCAGAAAGGTATAAATTGCTTCATTCTCTCTCCTCTTGTCCATTTCCTCTTCCTTCTCCAGGGCAATGGGACGCTGCCTGCCAAACTCTAAATCCCCCAGGCCTCCAAGAACAACTTCTAGCTAAACAGGACAGAGGACCCCGAGTCAAGATCCAAGAGAAGAATACATGTTGTACAATTTTTCCTACTGAGTTTAGCAAAACACCTGTTGCAAGCAACAATACATCACAACAGGCCACCCCCAAGACCCGTATGTGCATCTGACTCAAAGGACATATGTGTGTCTGGTTTGGGAAACATAGGGTCCAGACTACCACATTTTCTCTCAGTGTAGAATGTGCATACACATGAGAATGACATGAAGGTGGACGGAGAACTATGAGGAAGGAAGAGGAGGTCTAATGGGAGGGGACCAAGAGAAGGGAGGTGGAGGACCGGAGAGAAGGACAAATGGTGCAGGTGTTCTCTCATATGTGGGAGTTAGATGTAAATATGCACTCATACATACATACACACGCATAGCTATGTGACATGAGGGCACAAAGGGAAGGAAAGGGGCCTTTGAAAAGGGGGAGAGTTCAGGGCTAGCCTGGTCTACAGAGCTAGCTCCGGGACAGCTAGGACTACTCATAGAAACCATGTCTTGGAAAAAAAAATAAAGAAAAAAGCCGGGCGGTGGTAGCACACGCCTTTAATCCCAGCACTCGGGGAGACAGAGGCAGGCGGATCTCTGTGAGTTGGAGGCCAGCCTGGTCTACAAGAGCTAGTTCCAGGACAGGAACCAAAAGCTACGGGGAAACCCTGTCTCAAAAAAAAAAAAAAAGAAAGAAAGAAAGAAAAGAAAAGAAACAGAAAAAAAAGTAAGGGGAGTGCAAGTGAAGAAGAGAACAGAACAAATATGTGTGTGCATGATATATATATATATATATATATATATATATACATATATATATATATATACATACATACATACACATGCATAAAGTATCCAAATAAAATACACTATTTAACTGGACGTGGTGATGAATACCTATAGTTTAGTACTCAGGAGGCTAATAAAGTTTCAGGTCAATTTCCAGTTTAGGCTACACAGTGGGACCCTGTAAAAACCATACACACATACACACACAACACAAACCACACACGCATTATTTTGAATACTAGCTAAAAATAATAGAAAAGAAGAAAAGAGTATGTGTCAGGTTGAGGGTCAAAGACTGTCTCCCCAGGATGCTGTAAATTCTACACAAGAGGAAGGAGACTTACAGTTACCACATGCTCCTCGCCCCTAGCCCAAACCAATAAACTTTTCCCAATGGTCCCTTGACGAACCAGCCTCGCTGTGAAGGATTCTGAATGTAGATGTAGCTTGTGAATGTCTTTTAGACTCTTCCTTGGGGAAGAGTATTTCTCTTGCTCTCACCATTCCTTAGCTGCCTGTAGTTCTTTGTCTAGGGCTGAGGCCTTGTGAGGCTTTCCCCCTTCCATGTTAGTGTATTTGTTGGTTATCCAATACCATGCACATACAAGTAACATAATCTGGGCTGAGCGGGATGTATGCATGAATGTAAGTATATATGTATGGGTGAGTGGATGGCTGGTTTTATGGATTTATGGGTGTGTGTATGTAACAATTAAAATGAGGTCATCTTGCCTGGAAATCATGTCCTAGAAACCTAACTAAACACCCTGGGCTATCAAAATCACGGATCTTGGAAGAGGACATATCACCACTAATTTACTAAATCAGTATCATTCCTAACTGTCACGCCCCACCTCGTCCCCGGAGCAAGGATGACGCGACCACCGGAGCTCTTCTCACTGCAGTTTATTCCAGGACTTTATTCACTTTCTCTCTTCCCCTCTCTCTCCCTCTCCTTCCTTCCTCTCTCTCTCTCCCTCTCTCTCTGGGCAAAACCTCTCCCAGCCCTTAAGTAGGCATGGGCTGCCAATCCTGGATTGCCAGGTAAGCACTGCCCATAGGCTCATGCATATGCAAGCAGCTGATGATCATTGCGTGATCAGGCATAAGTCAGACTTTAGCCATAGGAGTTGATTATACATCTCTATCAGGTGTGGCTCTATGCTGCTCGCTACACCTAACTATGTTCTGGATGGGGAGATCTCAGGAGGCCTCAACGCTAGGCAAAGAATCACAGGTGATTCCGGTTTTATCCCATGCTTTTTCAGACCCAGACCAGCTGGCCTTGGTGAGTTCCCGATAGAACATCCCCATTGTCTCAGTGTGTGGGTGCACCCCTCGCGGTCCTGAGTTCCCTTCTCGTGCTCTCTGTCCTTCTGCTCCTGATTTGGACCTTGAGATTTCAGTCCGGTGCTCTAATGTGGGTCTCTGTCTCTGTCTCTTTTCATAGCCTGATGAAGGTTAATATTCAGGAGGATGCCTGTATGTTTTTCTTTGGGTTCTCCTTCTTATTTAGCTTCTCTAGGATCGTGAATTATAGGCTCAATGTCCTTTATTTATGGCTAGAAACCAAATATGAGTGAGTACATCCCATGTTCCTCTTTTTGGGTCTGGCTTACCTCACTCAGGATAGTGTTTTCTATTTCCATCCACTTGTATGCAAACTTCATAGCAGACAATGAGGACTACTGAGAACTCAAGAACAATGGCAATGGGTTTTTGATCCTACTGCACGTACTGGCTTTGTGGGAGCTTAGGCAGTTTGGATGCTCGCCTTACTAGACCTGGATGGAGGTGGGTGGTCCTCGGACTTCCCACAGGTCAGGGAACCCTGATTGCTCTTTGGGCGGATAAGGAGGGGGGACTTGGTCGGGGGAGGGGGACTTCACCGGGGGGGGGGGGAATGGGAGGCAGTGGTGGGGAGGAGGCAGAGATCTTTAATAAATAAATTTAATAAAAAAATAAAAAGAATCACAGGTGATTAAGGAGTGCCGAGAGCTGGAGAAACAGTCTTCTCTAGGGAAGAGCACACCCAATGACTATCTAATACCACATGGTCGGCTATGAAAACATGAACATACAAGTAACATTATATAGACTTAGAGTAGGTTGTGTTTATATAACTAGGAATACACACACGCAAGCTCACGCATGTGTGCGCGCACACACACATATATAAAACAAAACAAAAAGACTAACAAAAATAGAAAGGCCAGGAATTTGAGAGAGCAAAGAAGGAGGTACTTGGGAGAGTTTAGAAGTAGAAAAAAGTAAGGGAAATGATGTAATTATATTAATTTCAAAAAAAATATTTAAAATAAAAAATCTTGTACTTATTCTCATATTTAAATAAAAAGTGCTCTGAATTTGAGAGGGGGGATTGAGGGGAAGAAAGGATGAAAATAATGTATTCATATTACAATTTCAAAAAACAGACTATTGTAAGAATGCCTTCTAGGTTTAGAACAAATGAAAGAACGTTCCTCTTAGGAACATGGGTGCCGGCATTGGCACCTATGTTCACCCCGCCATCCCTTGCTCCCCCTGACTGTTTACCGAGCCTCCTTGAACTATCGTTAGCTTCGATGCAGTGAAGTCAGAGCAGAGTGATTCCCTCACCATTTCTCACCTCTGCAGGCAGCTGGAGTGCTTGCCCTGAGGGCCCATAACTCATGGGCAGAGCTCAGCCTCGTACTCAGATGTGACCAATTTCTACTGCTCTTGCCGTCAAAGCAGGACCTACAGAATGTCTGCCTGTCTTGCACGCCCTTCATTACTCTAGCCTTTATCTCCCTCCCACTTGTCCTGTTAATGTTTTAATTCGCATAGACATTCATTTAGAAAGGAATAGTTTTTATCGCTGTCATAAAACAAAACCCAAATCACTTGCTGCTAAATACAAAGTGACTACAAAAATAAGCACTATGAAAAAGCAAAGCAACGCCGTGAAATCCTAGACATCCCCCCCAAAACACACAGCCCAGGCTGAGCTCCTGTCTCTCCTTTTGTTAAGGTTGGCAACTGTTTAAGGAGGTGCTGAGGGGACCGCAAGCAACTTTCTCCTGATATAATCAGGATTGAAATTGCTTAAAAGTTATTACTTAACACAGCAGACTGCCTCTTAAAGCCAGCATCCATGTCCCCGAATACCCCATATGACAGTAAATGCTTGCTTTAAAGTCTTCTGATGAGAAAAGTCGAAATAAAAACATGAAAGAGACTCAATTTGAAGAGGAGAAAATGGCCTTAGGTTTCAGTATTTCTTCTCAAGATACATGAATTTGTTTTTTAATTAAATGTTAAGTAGGAAATGCTAGGGAGTAGGGCATTTTCCAAGAGGGCATTAAACACAGACCTACACCAGAAAGAGAGTGTTCCTGAAACCCCAGCAAACTGAGAGGCTGAAGCAGAATTACTCCAGCTCAAGAGTTTAAGGCTATCTTGAGCAAGGTGAGACTTTGCTACAAAAACAGGTCTTGGGCTGGAGAGATGGCTCGGAGGTTAAGAGAAGTGACTGCCGTTCTGGAGGTCCTGAGTTCAATTCCCAGCAACCACATGGTGACTCATACCCATCTATAATGAGATCTGGTGCCCAGAACACTATATACATAATAAATAAATTTAAAAAAAAAAACAGGTCTTACCTAAGGAGGTAATGCATCTTACAGGTCTTTTAATACAAAACCTCTTCCTCAGCATTCTGTAAACACACACACACACATACAAGCATGGGAATGTGTGTATACAGGGATACTCGTGTGTGTGCAAATATGAGCGTGCGCATGATTCACAGTCTTATGTCCAGTTCCCCACAAGTGACCCTTCATCCTTTGCTTGTCTGTGCTCATCCATGGGTCTCAGCTGAAATAAGACAGCTCTGACTGTTGTTGATGTCAGGCCTGTTGCTGGAGTGAGGGGCTGTTTTCTTTTTTCTTTTTTAAAGATTTATTTATTTATTATGTATACAACATTCTGCCTCGATGTATGCCCGCACGCCAGAGGAGGGCGCCAGATATCAATACAGATGGTTGTGAGCCACCATGTGGTTGCTGGGAATTGAACTCTGAACCTCTGGAAGAGCAGCCAGTGCTCTTAACCTCTGAGCCATCTCTCCAGCCCGAGGGGCTGTTTTCTGACTCTGCTGTGCACATTGCCTCCCTATAACCTTGCCTATTTTCCTGAGCAGCCTTATCAAGCAGACCTCCATCTCAAAAGCGGAGAAGTCAGGGGAGGGGCAGGCTGTGTTGTCTTTGTCATCAAATGGCTTCCGGGGCTACACCATCATCACACTTTTCTCTGTTGGTGAAAATGCTGTAGAAAAGAAGGCACAGCCCACATGTGGTGTTTGAAATGTGATTGGTTCCGTGGTGGCTAACTGTTCATTTTAACATGGATTACATATAAATAGATGTGTGGTTGCTCACCAGTTCTTCAACAGCCAGCTTTAGAGGATTTGTTCTAAGTCAGTGCCTACTCCAGGTGGAAAACACAAGCTCGCCACCCACCCCCGCTCCTGTCACTACCACCATTATCCACCCTCCGCCTCTCAGAAGAGCAAAGAATTGTTGAGAATTTGCAGCACGTGCCTGTGATTCTAGTACTTGGGAGGCGGAAGCAGGGGGACTAGGAATTCAAGGCCAGGCTGGGATTATATGGGAAGAAGCAGGGGCGTGGGGAGGAGAAAGAACTTAGAAATACAAGCCAGTCTTCCTTTCCAAATATCCCCTCACTTCTTTTTTCTAGCTTCTTCCCTCTCCCCACATCCTAAGACTACCAGGGAGAAGCCTGTAGCTTTCTTTGCAGACAGACTTGAGAAGGTCTGGGACTCCAGTTTGCCCCTGGAGCATGTATGAACAGGAGAGGAGAATCTCCAAGTGTCATTTACACTCTGCTGCTATGGCAAAAATACATATGCAA